CTTGGTTCAAATGCTTTTTCTGTTAGAACACATTTGTACCAGTGCCTCTAAGCTAAAAAGAAAATATGTGCTTGTTCTATGATTATAAATATCTCATATTTTAGAGGTTCTGTTTTTCAGCGCTATTTGGTCTTATAGGGGAGTATTTTTGTACAAATATCCTGACATAAACTTGGTGTTCCAACAGTTCATGCGCGGGTGAGGGTGCGCATGATCAATGTGATTGTTAGCCGCCTGTGTTTTACAGATCTATTTAGACCTGTTCAGAACAGACCCTTGAATTATTAGACCAAGTTTCTGTATGAAAATGTCAAGGTTGATGTTCTAAGTAAATGCTAGTACTCATGAAACATGTAAAACTACTACCCTTAGGGACTATACTTTTCTATCCACAAAACAGTTTTAAGCATGTGCTATACACAGGTTTATCATGTAGTATCACAAACTTCTCCACATTGAATATTTAGATGGCCTGTTTAGATTCCATTTAGAAACACAGTGTTGCACTTGTACAGTAAAAGGAGTATTTATGAACATTCCATAAATGCAAGTCACTCTAAACTGAGGGCATGGCTGTATCAAGTGTTGATATCTTGTGCAATAGATGCAAATTATACACCTGAAAAAAGAAAAATGACATTTTTTATGTATTGAGCAAGCAGATAGTATATTCAGTCCCATCAATTTTTAGTGACTCAGGATAAGACTATTTGAATTTCAAGTTGCATTGTATTAAAATATCAGACATCTTGCAGGATGTCACCAATACAGTGAGTTTCATTAATTAAATATACTTACTGATTATTGATTTACCAATATTGAGTTCCCTATGCAAAAAGTCAATGAAGAGTTTGTGTTGACTGCCTTTCCCAGCAGCAGCACTGTGGGGCAGCACGGCTCAGCCCTGGCTGGCTGGCACCCGGCGCTGCCTGTGCCAGAATGCGTGGGACTGGCCTGGCTCGGTGAGGTGTTATGTGCCTTCGGGCAGCTCCAGGCCGTGTGGGCTGTCACTCGGGGTCCCATGCCACTTGTGGGGACTGCCTGTCATGCCTGGCTGGGTTCTGCATGCACAGAACCAGCCTGGCCTAACGGCACATTGGGCCCATGCATGCAGAACCCAACCCAGCATGACACGCAATCCTTGCGAACAGCGCCAGCCCCTGGGTGACAGCCCAAGCAACCTGGAGCTGCCTGAAGGCACATGGCGCTGCGCTGCACTGGGCCAGGTCCATGCTATGTGGCACAGGCAGCTGGGAGATTATTTATGAGACAAAAGCACAAATATCAGTGACAAAAAGAATAAACACATAAGTAATAGCATGACCAGCACCTAGGTATCAAGCCTTACAGTTTTACATACATACATATGGAAATAGATACCAAACAAGGACCACTCACTTGCTATATCCCAAAAATCTCAATTGACTCCCACTCCACTCTCAGATAACCCTCAACCTCCTAGGAAATGGGAGAATGAGACCCTTCACTCGATCACTCTTCAACCCTGATACCTTTCTTTAGCTGAGGATCTTCGAGGAGCAAGTTCAATTAACAACAGTCAGTCAAAAACAGTCAACATCAGAAGTCTCAGACACCACACATACCAAAACCCAACAGCCAGCTGGAACTACACACAGTCCTTTGGTCAACATCTTTTACACTACCCAATCATACCATATTCTTTAGCCAGTCATTGTTCTTTCTTACCTATTAATCATCTTGTCAATCATACATCTGATACATTTCTCTCTGTCTCTCTTTCCAATCATCTTTCAGACCACCTCAGTCAGGTAGCTGTCAGTTATCTTGCACTTTTCCAACACTTATTTCTAGGAAGTGTGTATGCTTCAACTAATGTCACTGGGCAGATTTTCCTAAAAAGTCAAAAGTTCAAATAGTCCAGCAATTTCTGGAGATTACCTCAATGTAGGCACATCTGCACATGTGCAAACCATCAATAACCATCAAACTGAAAACCAGAGGCTATACTTTGGTGGTGTGTGTGTTTGGGGTTCAACCTAAGGCTCTGACCTGGAGAAACTTCCTAGTTATTTGCTCCTGGCTTTTTTTACTCTTGAAGAAGGTTTCTCTCTGTCATTACATGACTGTTTCTAAGAAGCAGACATGCCAAACCCCATAGGCAATATTCCTTGAGGAGTAGTAAAACAGTGGCATAAACAGGGAGACTTGGCCATCTAAAACATAGAGGGGAGCACAGCATGAAAGGAATATGGTTAAGTATTGGACTGATATTTGTAGTGATGTGTTCTGAAGAATCCAGTACTTGTAAAGGATTTCAGTAGTGCAAAAGCTCTACATCAGTTAAAACTTCTTGTTCTGATAAAGCTACGCAGTGCTCTAGAACAATGGTGCTCAATCTTCAGGCCCCACAGGCCAGATGAGTGGCATGGGGCATGAGTCAGATCAGGCCCCACACTGCCTCTGCCCAGACCCCTACATCTGGACTGGCCCTGTGCCATCCCTACACACCAGGGTCAGGCCCCACAGCTCCACACCACTCCCACTTCCCAGTATAGAAGCTCAGTGCTGACCCCACACACCAGGATTAGACTCAGGGGTCCCATGCCACCCTGCCCAGCCATGCCTGCCAGGATCAGGCCCCATGCACCACAGAGCCTTGCTATCCAGCCTGAGGGGCTCCCTGCAGGTCCGGAAATTTGTCAGCATGAAAGCGGTACAACTGCTCCCCCATCTCCAAGTTTTGGTACCATGGGAAGCCCCATGGACCAGATGACCTGACGTCAAGGACCAGATCTGGCCTGCAAGCTGGGGTTAAGCACCTCTGCCCTAGACCTGAGGAAGGCATTTGCTTATGTTACAATATTTAATTTCCTTCATAGTTCATGACACCAGAATTTAATATCAGAGATTCAAGTGTCTTTTTAAACCAATTTGATTTTCCTGTTAAGCTTATGGGCACTCACTGCTGAATATGTTGAAAAACAAGTTCTTGAACTTGACTTCTAGATTGCCTATTATCAAATCTCAGTAGGTGCAGCTACACATGCCATTAATGTGATGTGATAAACTGCTGCTCCTGGGTGTAGCATCTGCATGTGTGCCCAGGACTGCAGCACTTTGAGCTGGGGCAAAGCAGCCCCAGGCTGGCAGGGGGTCAACACTGGGCTCTGGGTGGTGGCATCAGGGGGACTGGCTGGGGCATGAGGGTGCTAAAGTGCAGGCTAGGCAGCAGGCAGCCCCCACACTCATGCCCCAGAGAGCCCCTGTCACTGTCTACACGTGTTTTTCAGCGCATATAATACTCTGCTGTAAAATAGTCCCTGACAGTACTATTCTACAGCAAAGTTAATTAATTTACTGTGCCCCAGTACTGGCGCATGTGTAGACAGTGACAGTTTACTGAGGAGCTAAATAGTCAACTCGGCAGTAAAGCACATTTTGTAGATGCACCCAGTATCTGCTTTATCTCTTATCTGCAGTAGTTTTACAGCAGAGGGACTTCACTGATGTTAGTGGATAGGCTTTTTGTTATATGCTTGTGTAAATGTGGGGTTTACTTGTGGGTTTTAGGGATTGAAAGTCAGTCTTTCTGAAAGGACAAGACATAGTCCCATCTGTTATAAATAGCGCAATATCAGATACTAAAGTAATGATGCTACATTTTAAAGTACAAGGAATGTAGTGTGCTGTGTTTTTATTTAGTAATGGTGAAGTACTGGTAACAGAATGCTCATAATTGTAGTATACTTTACAAACTGTAAAATCCATTGTGCTAGTTTAAAGACTGCTCTGGGGTTGTTTGAGGGGTAAGTAGAAATGGCTTAAAATTTGTTTTCAATACACTGTAGCATTTCCTGGCATGTACACATGGATTGGCTGTCTCCAGATAACTGATACAATTTAAAAAAAAAAGAAATGTTGGGTCAGTTCCTCCATTGGTATAAATTTACACTGCTCTAGTAAGTTCAGTGTAAGTTCAGTGTCACTATGCTAGTTTAACAAAGCTGAAGATCTGCTCTGATATTTATTTCCAAAATACATGTATATATGTATAACAATGTGCATGGCATTATCCTCATTTGGCTTATTCTTCTTGACATTTTTTATGTACTTTGGTATGTGTCTTAATTAAGAAAATTAGTTTAGATATTCATTATGAGATTTATCATTCAGTCAGATGATTTTGAATATAATTACAGAGAAAGGAATGCAAATAGTCTTGGATTCTCCGTGTTTAATTGATATAGAAAGTCATACTGCATTCACAACCAACTGCAGAGCTAATAAGACTCCAAGACTGATTTGTTGCCATGGATTATGTTCAGTTTTACACCTAAAACAGGTCAATGTAAAATAAATAAATAAATAACACAAGTCTATGACAGAATAACTTGCCGTCTTCAGAAGGCCCCATAAAGTACCTACATTTGTTGAAGGACTGACACAGTATTGTGTCACACAAGATATCGATTTAAAAAAAACCCAAACATTTGAATCATGTCAGTCATATTGCAGCTGGGAATGTAAATATCCATAACTTTACATATTGAGACTGCTCTGAAATGTACTGGCAATCTGTTATATTTTGAGTGATGTCTCAACCTTATCGCTTGGTTTTTCATGATTTAAAAGAAGTGCTACTCATCTCTGTCATATTCTGTACAGGATAAGAGGCTTTTCACTTTTCTTAGCAAGAATCAGACAGAATGCTGCTGGAACACAGAGAATATGCTGCTGTCTGTTCAAAATACAGCCTAATGAGCCAGACTAAATATAGTGGACAGTAGAGCTCTGGAAAAATGTGCTTTTGATGGATCTGTGGATCAGCTACAGCTTTAACTTCTAACTAGTTTCATTTTTCATCTTTACAATTTCCATTTCCTCTTTTTGTTGATATAAATTACATTTCAATGAATGGACTCTCCTGCATCTGTGACAGTTTTGTGTCCTCTGGTAAGGACACCATGGATCTGGCTCTTGTCCTAGTCATAATTTTTTCATGTTTTTTTCTCTCTTAGTCGCGACCTATTCCCTCACACCTCACTTCAGCAGTAGCAGAGAGTATCCTGGCTTCAGCCTGTGAGAGTGAAAGCAGAAATGCTGCAAAAAGGATGCGACTGGATAGACAGCAGGTACGATGTTATTTGGGGAGGTCTACCTCATCCATATCTCTAATTAAGTAAAATGAAGATAATTTGCAATTCTTGTTACATGAAGAAATTGTGCATGTCAGATATGTCGTGTTAGCCAGAATAATTAAATGTTTATTGATTTTATATTTAAATAAATATGTGCAATATATGAAAATGCCTTATAACTTTATATACATATGGGGTTAGCATATCTACTTTACATGTATGGATAATATTGTACATTAGTATGTATTCTATACTCTATGTACAATGTGTGTACCTTTAGTACCTATAGATACATATGCATGCATGTTAACATGTATAACATGCAGCATAATGTATATAAAACTTAAAATATAAACTGTATGTATAGATGTACATGTACACACACACATCTTTTTCTGTATATTTGTAAAGATAACAAGTATTCTCATAAACTACGAAATTTGTACAATGTGCTTCAAGTAGAAAGGTTACTGGATTATTTCCCAAACTATAGTGTGCTCTCAGGTTCCTTGTTAATCAGTGTCTTAACATCCATATCAATTATTTTTCCATACATGATTCAGTATCTAGCATACTGCATGCTAAATTAAACTATTGCCTTTTATTTGCTGAAAACTGCATGTTTCCTTTCTTAACTTCTTGAAACAAAAGTGGCAGTCAGTTGTAAGGTTTTGGGTATTTAACTGCTCTAATGACATGTCTGATGAACTTTTCTTGTATACAGTTGTTGGAAAACATGGACATTTCCCCCTTAGAAACAGCTTGCAGCCTTTTTTGACACGTGTTTCTAGAGCACTGAAGTTTGGAATTATCTTTACAATGCTGTTAGTTGGGACACTGGAAATGGATATCACTGTGTCATTTTTTGATGTATTTTGTCTTTTGTGATACTTTCATTAATGCTATGGAAATGCCTTAAGGTTTACAGATTTTAGTGAAAGTAAAAAGAAAAAAATCGTACTTTAAGTACAGTGTTGGTATTGCTAAAATTGATTGTGAAGATTTTATGACTTGGCATCAAGTCTGATCATAAAGAGGAATAGGTATCAAATAATTCTCTCCAAAGTGATTCTCTCCAAGGTATGAAAGGACAATTGAAATAGCCCTTTAAAGGTTTAGGCAGTAGCAGATCTTGGTGTCATAAAGTTATTTGCCAGGTTTAAAAAAATTCTTTCACCTGAAAGTTTTGGTACTGGTTATTGCGGTTTCCTTTTGAATCTAAAATTCATAAATTACAGCACTTGAAGCCCCTAATTAATGATGTAAATGAAAAAGCAGGTAGCCAATGCAATAAGGACTTGTTTGGTTTATGGTATTTTTTTTCCACTCCTATCCATATGCTTTGTTATTTTGGGTTTTTTTAAAGCAGGAACTTGCAAAACAGTTGTACCTACTATGCATACAGCATCATAATTCAGGGCTGCCAAATGTCAGTTCAGTAAAAAATGTTGTTTTATTTGTCCTCAAATTATTTGTGAATCCAGGTCAATTTTGCTGAATAGTTCTTACTGGAAAAAATGCAGCTAGAGTCATAGATTAATAGAAAAATATGGCTGAACGGAACCTCAGGAGGTCTTCTTGTACACCTTGTAACCTAGTCTTAAAATTACATGAGCAACCCTCATCCACAACTACCAGTCACAGTACCTGAAAACACCCTAACTTACCACAGGTAAAGCAGGGAGGCAAAGGCACTGCAAGGACAGAGAGAAGTTTGTTAAAATACACTCCAATGAAGTGCCATGCCCCCTACTACAGAGGAAGGCAAAAACCTACACAATCCATGGCAGTCTGACTGTGGGGTAAAATTCCTTCCTGATTCTAAATGTGGATCAATCTGACCCTGAGTGGAGGAGCAGGACTCTCTAGAAAATTATCTCTGTTCTTTTCTTTTTTTTCTTTCTTTTTTTCTTTAAGTCCTAGCAGAGGCACAGGCACACCCCAGTCAAAATCCCCAGCCATGGCAACAACAGCAGTGGAAGGAAATAAAGGAAGGAAAATAAAACCCCCTGACACGTGTAGCAAGAGAGGGGTTAAAAATCCTTCCCAGCCCCATGTGGCAATCAACAGATCCCAGAAGCATGGAAAAAAAAGCAAAAAGCCTCCACTCTGCACTGCGGTTTGGATAGCACAAGCACAACTCCATGCATCACAGACCCTAACCTAGGACTTGTGTTTCTGTCATCCTATCCCCTCCATAACCTTGTCCCAGCAATTCAAACTTGTTTCATAATCAAGCCAGTTATAGTTTCCAAAACATCTGTGGAATCCCAACTGTTGCTTCTTACAATCCACTCCAGGAATTGCTACTCCTAATCGTCACTGAACAATGCTTATCTAACCTGTTCTTGAAAACCTCCAGTGAAGGAGACCCCACAACTTCCCTAAGCAGTTTATTCCACTGCATCAGTGTTCTAACAGTGAGGACTTTTTCTCCTGTTATGCTGTCTAAAACTATTTTACTGCAATTTCAAGTCATTGCTGCACATCCTAGTATCAGCAGTGAGGAAGAAAAGGTGTTCTTCCTGTTCTTTGTGGCAGCCCACTAAATATCTGCTATCTCTTAATCACTTTGTGCAAGCTGAACATGCTTAGTTTAAGATTCACTAGCCTGATGAAGAGAAAATTACTCTCTGATCCTGTGGGTAGGACACTCACTTGACAGGAGAGACACCTTGGTTCCAGGCTCTGGACCAATTATTGTTTAATCATTTATACAAAGTACAACAGCATGAAGAAGTGAAATTGGGAGCACCCAATTTCACAGTATATCAGGGTGCATTCCTGGTGATGTGGGCACTGTCCTAGAAGGTGGCTGACATATTCAAATCCATACAGGCAGAGGAGGTAACTAAGCCTGGGGCTGTACACATGCTCAGAAAATCTTGGAGAATTCCTGGTAGAAATACTTATGTGGAGATACTTGTACACACATTCAAATTATAAGCCCCTGAAGAGCAAAGAGCTTTCAATGCTAACGCTGTAGAGCCAGGAAGGTTCTGTGCACACATTTCAGCATACTGTGCAAGCTCCGTCAATCTCCCTGTAGACAGATGGCAGCAGTTCATAGGAAAGTCCTGATTGGCTGACCCAGATTGCTGCATGTGGCCTGGGTCTCCTACAGTCTAGTTGAAAGATATTGGATAAAATGGTCATGTCATCATCGCTACCTCCTTCAGTTTTTGCATCTAGCCTTTAAGCTCATTTGCTGTCCTGCAACTGCCCCAAAATGAAACATCTTATTTTGTATAAAATTTAATTAATTTTGTTTTTAATTTGGTGGGGAAAAAACCAAAAATGTAAATTGGGTTTGTATAGAATTAAGTTCTATTTTTCAGTTTAGCAACTAGCCCTAGTCATAACTGCAGTATTCCATTCTAAATGTCTACCACTTACTCTTGATTTATTTGCCCACGTACACTAGCAGGGTCTCAGGCAGAACTCCCAGCAGTAGAACTTAGTAGGTAGATGAGGTTGTGGTAGTGACATAATTATGTTATCAGTTATCCCAGGGAGACCTTCAGAGGCAAACATAGAGTAGCACAGAAATCAGGTAGTCATATCTGAAAGGAAGATTGCTGAGAGTAGCTGGTGAGAGCATTCATCTAGCAGTTTCCCTCAGTCTCAAACTTAAGGACCCTTGGATTATTACTGTCTACTCTCATGCAAACCCATTGTGGGATTCTACCATTTCTTTTCCAGAGGAATCAGTTTGCCCTGGGATACAAAGTGAAATTTGCATTCTTAACAACAGTTTCTCAGAGTGTGGTCTATTAAGTATTTGTGTGTTGCTGTGTCTATCATAGATAGATTGTGTGTGTGTATTAAACACACACACGGGATTTTCAAAGGACCCTTAGGGGGTTAGTCAACCAGATCTCATTAAAATCTGATAGGAGTTGAGTACTTAACTCCTTTAGGCTCTGTAGATAATCCTGGCAATAGTTGCTATATATATACCCAGCTATGCAGAAAATTTATATGCATCTATGCTGAAAACTGCCCAAGGCAAGTCTATGAGAGTTATAAGGGATGTGGAGTTGACAGTGTGCATTTTGAAAAGATAGGATGTTCCCATTGCTTGGGGCCACATCTGCTTGGAATATGGAAGGGACTTAGGCCTCTTCCCAAACACTTTAGGAAGTCTAATAAAATCAGACTTGGTGGTAAAATCAGCCTGCAGTTGTGCCTGACCCCATACCCTGGGCCATAAATGAGGGTGGGTTCTTGAAATTAATTTCTTTGCTCTAATAGGCTGTTCTGGGTGCATTATGTATGGATCTCAGATAGGAGTCTGAAATCTTAAAATATTTTACTTTTCAAAATAATTCATTTTAAAATGACTTAAAGAGTGTTAATTTTAGTAATGACTCTGATGAGCAATCAGCTCAAGAACTATTTAGCAGAAAGAGCTAATGCACAAGTCAAATTAAAGAAAATCTCCAATTGTATTACTCAATTTTTCTTAAAGACTTACAGAATCATTGACAACCTTAATGTATTTTGGTCAAATGTATTGCTATAGAAGGCAAATAATATAAAAGTATTTGAGGTTTTTATTCATATACTATGCATATGTGACTTCTTATCCACTGAGGAAAGAAAAATGCTTCAGTAGTATATAAACAGCTCTATAAAGATTCAGACTCAGTCTGTGCACTTCTTTGATGTGACAATGACAAATATTATATTTTATAAGCAACTACCTTGTTGTATTCTTGATAAAGGATGAAAGTTTCCCTGATGCGGCAAAGCACTTACATGTTGTTTTGTTTTTTTACCTGAAGGAGGGAGGAATCATTAAGGTCTTCCTTTGTTTAAAACTCAGCAGGCACGTTCTTGCATTTTGCTAAATCAGGGCTTAAATGCTTTCCCTA